GGGGTCAGTTGTATTGATGCTGCACTGTGCACTTTCTGTGCAGACTTTGATACCGGTTCGGGTTGATCGAGATTTTTGCTATTGGTCCACTGTTCGGAAACTCAAGGTAGATCTGTCAGCGTTCACAGACCTTGAAGTCCCCGCCAATCTTTTCTGTTCTACTATTTCTTTCATTCAGACAGTTGCATTTCTTTCAGATTATTATTTGTAGTAAATTCTAGAATGCTCGTGAATTGTGGCTCCAGATCCGGGTGGTAGTAATTAATACAGTTTTATGATATTCCGCACTTATTATATTTTATTTTAGTTAATTATTGTTAATTATTGAATGGAAATAAGAAATTAATTAATGATTCTCTAACGTTGGCTTGCCTAGTAAGTTAAATGTTAGGCGCCATCATGGTCCCGTCAGTGGAAAGTTTCGGGTCGTGACAGTTGGTATCACAACACTAGGTTAGATAGGTCTCATGAGTCACGAGCAAGCTTAGTAGAGTCTGAAGGATCGGCACGAACACGTCTGTACTTATCTCTCAGAGGCTATGAAGTTTAGGAACAATATCACCTCTTTCATTCCTTATCGTGCGGCAATGATTTTGCTTGAAACCTATATCTCACATTCCTTTATATCTACTCGTGTATGACATTGCGCAGTCGGTATCAGTTGTGCGTCGACGGTTCGTGATGCTGCAGATAAACTACGAGGGAGCCAGAAATGCTCAAACATNGGTGAACTATGACTTCGCGCCGAGTGGGGGAGTCCACTATCAATGAATGGATTGCGAGTCATATATTATATCAGTTTTGGCCTGAAATGTATATATGTGGTACTGAAAGGTTCTCCCAAAAATTTACATGTGTTTAAGGCCTGAGATTTTGTAGAGGATAAGGTTGGGACTTGCGGTATGTCGGCCTCTGTCATAATCTTATACTTCAGTACCAAAGGAGTTAGAGAAACAACATTAAATTTACAGAAGGTCTATTCAGCGTGGACGTCACGGTTGTGGATTTTGGGGTGCTTCGGAGGAAGTACAGTGGTTGACGAGATTCTAGACTAAGAATTGTCGGTATGGAGCTCTACTTTTGTGATCATTGTATATAAATAGGGGTAAAGTTTACCCCAAAGAAGAATCGAAGAGTATGTTAAGAAATGGGTCAGCTCAACAGTGTTGAGTCAG